GGTGGGGAGGAGGGAGGGTGAAGGGATGTTAGAGCAAGGAGGTGAAGTAGAGAGGGGGAGGAGTGAGGAATGGAGGAGACGTTCTGGGGGATAAAGAGATGGTAGGGTGGGTGGTGTGGCTCATGTAGGTGCTTCAAAGGGGGTCCTCAGTGTGAATCAGGGAGGGGTCTACTTGATTGGATGGGGTCGGGTGCGGGCTTATGATTTGATATATATATATATATATATATATATTAAACACAAACAACTTACTTATAAAACATACGGAAAATGCGTTGCTTACTATAACTTGTTTTAGTATTATTTTTGAATGCCAACATTTGAGGAGATCTCCTTTTATTTTCAAAAGTTATAAATAAGTTTCAACTATTGTCCACCCGGTTGCTACAGATCTTTACAACTGATCGCATCCAATCCTCAAAAAAACAGACTGAAGGGGGTGGGGTCCTCTTTCCTCGCCCCTCTGGGGTGGGTCAGAAAGTTAAGTAGCTAGAGGGGGGTGGGTAGGATGGTCCGCTGCAAGTCAATTACCGGAACCCTGCCATGGCATGATGTGAAAGGACTCTCATGCTCGTCCGGCGCCGCTCTTCTAGTGACGGCTCAGTCCCTGAGGACCAGCAGCAAGCACTTGACCAACCGAGCCTCCGCCAGAGATCGATGCTCGAGTCTTGTACTTGTGCCGCGGGAGGAAGGATAGCGGTAGGGGTCTGGAGGCCTCTTCAGCCATGCTGGCCCGCGGACTGGCACCACGATGAGCCCTGCATGACCTGAGACATCACGACCAAACCATATGTAAGGAGATCACAGGAATGATGTTCAGCCTGCAACTCTTTCTATGATCCCTTGAAGCCACCGATAGAATGTAGAACGGCAGGAAGGAACAACTCAGCTGAACCCTAACGATACAGACAAGCATAACGCGTTGCTCTACGCGGCACAACGAGCCATTTCCCCTCACCCAGTCACACTGTACGTATCTCAAGAGCCTTAAGGCAACATAACTTTATTCCCCAGACTCAAACTGACATCTTACTGACATAGCACGTTGCGGAAGTTCACGTACTCCTTGTGCACATGCTGCTTCACGGTGTACATATCCTCTAGCAGCACCTGCCACCCCTTGTCACCCCCTCTCCTCCTCTCACCCCCTCCCGCCATCGACCTGGACCTCGCAGATGTGTCGTCGCAGGTTGAGTGTCTCGTCCCATTGCTTAAGCGGGATGAAAGTGCATGAGCCGTTCTTAGCGTTGACCGTCCATCCTACCTGCCCTCCTCCAGTCACTCCCTCTCCCCTCCTCCTCCGGTTCCCTCTTCTCTCCCCTCCTCTTCCGCTTCCCGCCAAGTCCCTCCTTT